CACCTCATTGAATCCTATCTGTGAAGTAACCAACAAACCAAAACCACTGCCATCAAGTTGATAACTCATAGCGACTTTATAGGACACAGTAGAACTGCCCCCACAGGGTTTCCAAGGCTGTAAATCTTTAAAGAAGCAGACTGCCTCAATTTTCACCGGTGGCTTCTGGGTTTGAACCACCAACCTTTTGGTTAGCAGCCTAATGCTTTAACCACTGCACAAGGACTCCTTCTCAGTGAGGTGGGCACTACCATGATCCCCATTTTAAAGATGAGGATGCTGAGGCACGGAGCTAAAGTCACTGTATCTAAGATCAGTTGCCTGGCAACATGCAAAGCAGGTCTTTATATCCAGATAGTATCTGCCTCCAGACCTGAGTGCCCCAATATGGTTGGCCTGTAGAGGGGAGGGGTAGAGCAGATGCAATGGTCTGAAACATCAGAAAAGCCTATCAACATACAAATGATATTTTCTTAAAGCTTCCTTTTTCCTCAGTAAAATGTTTACATAACATTACCTGTGGTTGTTCCTAAGCAGATGTGCCAGCCAGAAAGGGGTGACAGCCGGTAGTTTTTACTTTCTTTTGCTTTTTCCTGTATCATCTGAGTATGTCCCAATGAATCCTTTTCATTTTTGTAACTCGAAAGGAAAGACTAGTTTTATTTGGGGGGAAAATAAAGAGTTCTGGTTGTGAAAAGATGCAAAATAGGGCAACAGCCAGACAGAGAGTGAGGGGCATGAAGTTTCATTTTTTAACCCAGAGGAGTTGAGGATGTGATTCTGAGGCTGTAGGATGTCCCTTAGGAAACTAGAAATGAGGGAAACAGGATTAGCCACTTGAGAACTGAACTTTAAACCAGTACTCACAGCAAAGGTGCAAAAGCAAATGCTTCACCCAAGGAGGCAGGATAAATGACCCCAAAACACTAGGAAAAACAAAGAATGAGGAAGACTGATCACCAGCCAACTGCCAAGGTCAACTGTGGAGTTGGACCCAACTCATAGGGACCCCTTCTTGGGTTTTCGAGGTAGTATGTCTACAGAAGTAGATTGCCCAACCTTCCTTCTGAAGAGTGGCTGGTGGGTTTGAACCGCCAGCCTTCTGGTTAGCAGTCAAATGCCTTAGGCACTACCCCACTAGAGCTCCTGAAGGTGCACATATCTGGGTTTAAAAGAAAACTGTTTGTAGGCTTATAGGCAAGGAAAGTTTGTGGAAGAAACTCAAGAAGACTGAAGGAGAAGGTAAGGAGTGGCCTGAAGACTTATTTTATTGTACACTATGGACTTGTGCTATTTTTTTCTGTTAGAAAATTTTGAGTGTCACTACACATGATAGAGGAGCTCTGGTAGCTTAATGTCTAAGGCACTTGATGCTAACCAGAAGGCTGGAGGCTCAAACCCACCAGCCACTCCTCGGAAGGAAGACAAGGCAATCTACTTCCGTAGTGATACTGCCTCGGAAACCCAAGGAGAGGTCGCTATGAGTCGGGTCGACTTGACAGCACATAACAACAACGACAACAACACACCAGAGAAAGGCCAAGACACTGGGGCCGGTGCTGCCAATAATGGGCTGAGAGTTTTTGATGTTCTCGATGTTTTACTTGGAAAGGCAGAACTTTGTTGCTTAGCGCCTTAGCTAATTGACCTCCACCTGACACTCTGGAGGGATTGTAGCTGATTAGAATGCACAGCTGTTTATTCATTATTTC